GATCACATTGTCACAACTGGATCCTAGGCTATGCCTTTCCCAGGGAGTGGATTTTGAATGTGGAAGTTGCCTGCTTTCTTGCCCAGGACCAAATATTGGTGCATGTGGTGGTCTGTGGAGAAGGGAAGCTTCTGTGCCTTTGCTGTTTTCCCTTCAGCGTGCATCCATTATCCGTGCATCCAAATAAGCATCCTCGTATTATTACAGCTCAGTGGTTGTATTGTGTGATTAATGGGTTAAACGTGCTCTAACGAAGCTTACACTTGAGGACCCGGATTCCAAAATAGGAACGTAGTTTCCTGCTTTGTGAGCTATATTGGAAGTTGCAGCTGATTGTATGGCTTCCCTTTGCTATTTTAGGTGTGGGCTTTGCCACTCGGCAGGTGGGAAATGTGACTAAACCAACAGTGATCATCAGTCAGGAGGGGGACAAAGTGGTGATCAGGACGCAAAGCACATTCAAGAACACAGAGATTAGTTTCCACCTGGGAGAAGAGTTTGATGAAACTACTGCAGATGACAGGAACTGTAAGGTAAGGCGTGCCACTTCTCTGGGGTGGGTGTGGGGATCAGGGAATAAAAGAGATTCCTCAGGCTACTTTTTTTAGATGATGGGAAGTGGAGTACGTTCTCAGTATTTCAATGCACAGAGGAGGACATCAGGGTTAATTTTGCACTCTGGCACACATTAGTTTTGTTCTAAACAATGAGTTACTTATAGCTCGCGTGTTGACTCTCTTACCGTATTTTCACATTATATATCAAACCTTTCAGAAAATATTTAATAGCATTCTTTTGAAAGAACGATTGCATTTTATTTCATCTCTCCGATTGCCTTGGATTCACTAACTAGACAGCTTGCCTCATTCTAAGGCTTCGTTTAAAGGAGAAAGGCGACTAGTCTGAAAGCTCTTGTTCAGGGTTTTAATTTCTAACATACAAAGTTGTTGCATTTAGATGTACACATTTCAATTAAATTATGAATGACTCGAGTTTACATACTAAGGGCTCTAGAAACAACAGAGGAGATGGTACTGATAC